AGCACAAAGTTACGCCCATGGATTGGGGCCACAACCAAAAAACTAACAATAAAAAATAATAGTGTAAAATCTGCGTGAAAGAAATGAATACAAATGAATAGATGATTTCTTAATAAGCTGTGTCTGTAACATTTAACATAATTTCTCTGGCCTCTGGAGAAAAATAACTCTTTAAAAAGTGAATGACTGTGAGTGTGACTCTCCACGTTCCTCCTTGTCAGCGTGAAGGTTCAGAGTGTGAACTTTATGGCGGGTGACAAAGTACTTGAAATCTGTGGACACTTTAAACTGTTGTTTTTCATGTTTGAATTATATAAAACTATTTTATAGCTTTGTAAAAGAAACCGAATTGTTTGGCGTGAGTGCTTAAACAAATCGAGTGTTTCTGATTGCTGTGACAATACAAATGAAAACTGCACGTCAGAATTTATCCAAAACAAAGGAGGAGCTCGTTAAACTGTGGCCAAACATCGGATAATTTGCTCTCGTAGACTGTCATAATCTGGAATTATCATGGAGTGATAGCCGTTATCGCACGAGAATATCTTGAATTTAATGTTTTCAAGTGGAAATGACTGAGTGTGAGATCAGTGTTGATTAGGTTAGGGCTTGAAAAGAATCAAAAGTCCTTCCCAGTAAACTGACTTTTACTACGTGCAGATTCTCCACTAAATAATAAAATATGCAGGGCTGGTGCAATTACGTTGTTATGCTGCAGGTTTATCAGAGATCAGATCAGTGTTTATGGGCGTGTTATAGATGATCCACCCTGTTCTTTAGACGCAGTTTGCTGTGACTGCATGTTTTTGTTTGGATTTACATCATAAGTAGACTTTCTTCCCTGTAATATCTGATTGATGTTCATCATGTAAAATGAGCGACTCGAGAAAGATAGAGAGAAGTTATTGTCTGAATGCATGCCGCTATTAAGCTGAGGTAGTGATGAAAGATGAAAAGATCCCAAATGTTCCTTAAAAAAACTTTTTTTTCTTAAGTTATTTAAGTCATCAAGTCATTGTTTTCCTTTAGTGTTAAAGCCCAGGTTTTTTATGCATTTAAAATGATTAGAAAGCAGCTTTTTGAAGAACAAAGTACAGCCTTCCGTGTTTCAAACACAGTAGAAGCATAAATAGCAGTTAGGTCCTGATGCTCAAATGCATCAAATGCATCCGCAACATTTGTGTCATAATACTGAACATGCTGAAATGAGCTGCCAGGATTGCTGAACAAACCACGGGCCTCTGGAACAATTCCCTTTATCGGTCCAAAGAGGAGATGTTTGACCATAATGTACAAAACACATCATATCAGCACAAACACTTCATGACTGGTTGTTAAGCACAGTGGTGGAGAGGTGATGATTTGAGCTTGTTTTGCAGACACAAACCGGGGTTGTATTCTAGACTCACATGAGAGGCCATCAGCACGACACCTGGGTCGTGCAACAGGACAATGATCCCAAGCACCGTAATAAATCTACAATAGAATGAAAAATAAAATAATAAACTGTCAACGTACTGAGGCAACTTTGTAAAGAGGAGTCCGTCATGAACCCTCCAACGATGCGAGCAACTGATAAAGTCAGAAAAGGTGGATCTACGAGATTACGAGAAGTGCTGGTTTCTGTTGGGCCTGCAGGGATGCTCACGATTAAATAAAAGTATTTAATCCCTGTTGTCGGAACTGTTGCTTTTCTAAGCTATATTTTAAAGTGAAAAACTTACAGATAAACAAACAAACAAACAAATCAACTCTGTAACAAACTGTCCGGGACACACTAGGGATGCACTGAGTCTAGTTGTGTCAATGTAGATGCATACATTCCCACACTCAGTGTTCATTAGCATGCATATAATCTAATCAAATGCACATTCAGCAGGGGTACAAACTGCACACTTAAAAAATATACATGTGACAGTTTTTAGCAGTGGTTGGGTATGAGATCATGTAGACTGAAAATTTTGACAAAGCTTGTGCTGTTTGATCTAAATCTGGCCTGCAGAGGCAGAAAAGTGCTGACCTGGTCTGTTTTTATTCATATGTGGAGCGCCGTGACCGATGAGACTGTTACTGGTGCACGGCTGTGAGGCCGTGGATCTCAAACCTCAGGACCTCTAACTGCACACAGAAATCAGACAGAAGTCACTTTTTATCCAGACCTTTAAGGACACAACTGTCGAGCTTCAGAGGAAGCAAATTTATCTGCACATTGTCGCTTAAAATGAAATATGTAAAACCAAACATTAAAGCTGTTTTTGGCAAAGATAAAAGTGAATTTTCCTTCATTTTGAAGAAATGAAACTCGGCGGGTCAAAAGTTGAACCACCTGCCATGAAGGTCGACTAAGGAGCTCTGGAGCAGGAGCATAAACTACAGACACACATTTATAAACAACTTCCATTAAGAATGACCCATTCACACAAGGTCAAAACAATAGAAATGTATGTCAGCTTGACTATATTATACCTATTTAACAGTTTTACATGTTTAAGAAATCTTTCATCTCTGGATAACTTGAGGGAGCTGGTGATGATTAGTCGCCACCGCTGGACTGTCTGTTTGATAAACTAGAGCTGAGCTTCAGCTTAATCTCAAAGACGTAATCAAAGCTGCTCATCGAGTGCAGCAGCTCTTTAAATCCCGCATCTTCAGGACTCTATGTGAAGTGTTTTGAGCAGGCTTTCCAGCTTTTCAGCAGCAGGGTTGTAAAATAAGCAGAGCAGTGGATCGGACTTCACAGGAGGACGTTTGCATGTCCCATGTTCCTGGGTTTCTCTCCAGGTCTTAATACTACTACTACTAATAATAATAATAATAAGCTATTTTGAACAAGTGAGTTTTGAGCTGGGACTTAAAGAGGGAGAAGGAAGTGATATTTCTTAAATCAGGGCGCAGGGAATTCCAGAGTTGAGGAGCAGAGCAGCTTCTTTCCTGAAGCATGCACCACTCAGAAACTCTAAATTATCCATCCAGTTTGGGTGCTGATTAAAATCTAGCTAAATAAAACCCGTCATTTGTTTCCTGTCCAGAATAGTTTTCTAGGCGACGTAAGAGTGAAATTGTTGGTGGTAAATTCAACCACTAGATGGCGACAAACACACACAGATGCGCGCAGAGCAGGTTCGAGTTTTATCGTTTTCACATCAGTTTAGTTTCGATTTACTGAAACTTACACGGTCCGCTTGTGTTAGTGTCAGGTTTAGTTGTCTTTATTATAATCGTGGTTGCAATGGGAAAGATTTAAGAAGATCAGAGCAGACTCTCAGCCACGAAGATAAAAACAAAGACAAAAACAATCTCTCTGCAAATGCTAAAGTGAAGCCAGTGAAGCCTTTTCCAATATGCAATACATTAACATTGATATCTGCTCATATGCACCCCTGCTGGCATATCTGACCCAACTTGGATGAGGGATGATAAAGTCTAGATGATGAAACCATGTTTTAATAGAGCGTAATGCAAAAAATACAGTTTTACTGAGTCTTTTAAAGCAGCGGTCTCCAACCTTTTTTGCGCCACGCACCGGTTTATGCCCGACAATATTTTCATGGACCGGCCTTTAAGGTGTCGCAGATAAATACAACAAAATAAAACTAGTACCGGTACCGGAAAAACGAAAATTTATTCATAACACACATGAAAAGACCAAGGAAAACCGAGTAAACGATAAAAGCGATAACAAAATAACGCTGAAAACCGATAAAAACCCCTGAAAACCATACATTTCACACCTGAGCCTCAACTCTCCACCAAACGACTCACGGACCCGTACCGGTCCGAGGCCCGGGGGTTGGGGACCGCTGTTTTAAAGCACTTGGTGTCTCTAGATACATGGCAACCTATGAGCCAGGAGTCTAATTGGTTATTTATAACCTGTACTTCACTGCAGTTTTAAAAGATAAATATTCATCACGTCAACCTAAGTCTTTGTTATACGCTTTGTTACATCCTGTGAGGCTGTGGGAGTGTGTGGGCGTGGTTTTGTCTTCTCCCTCTCCTCCTCCTTCTTTCTTGCCCCTCCCCTTGTCTCTCTCCGCCCCTGTCTTCTCCTTTCGGACACACCTGCTGCTCATCTGCCCTCGTTACCACCAATTACCCTCAGAGGTGATGTAAGCTGGAGAAGCGCAGTGTGGAGGTGGGGGAGAGGTTTCCTCTGTGGGGGGGGCAGTGTGTGATACTGGTTTAGGTATGGAAACGGCCTGCTGTGTGTGACCAGCCCCATCGTGCGTGGCTCTTTGTGAGTAGTTCTTAACTGAGCGGTGTTTTCCCTTAAGTGACGGCAGCCTCCATGAGTTTGTTTGGCCTGCCTGGGTATTGTTACTAGCAGCGTTGCGGTCTTTTTCTGTTGAAGCCTTATAGTTGTTTTCTTTCACTACCTCTTTGGGTTGACCTGTCTGATTTATCATTAAGGCAGCGGTGCTGTCTCTTTTGTTGTTACTATTTATATGATCATTGAGGTATTTGACTATAATAAAGCTTTATTTTGTGCTAAATACCTCTGCCTGGTGTTCTTTTCATTTCACCCGGATCCAACTGTCACTGCCCCCCACCCTCATCGCCTAGTTTTTATGTGGGGACTAACATGCTTGATAAATCAAAAAAGCTTAATTTTGCACATCCTTTGCAGGTTAGAGGAAATATTTTAGATATGAAACTTTTGAATTTGTGTGTGTGTGTGTGTGTGTGTGTGTGTGTGTGTGTGTGTGTGTGTGTATAAAGGGACCCAGGAAAATAATAACAATAGGATATTTAACAGAATATGTTAAATGAGTCAAATTGGAGAAAACAAGAGTGAATACAGCTATTTTAGCCAATGAAAGAAAATGAATGAATAAAATTAAGTCCCTTAAAAAATAAATAAAATAAGGGGATCCCAATTTTATAATCCAAGCATAATCTTGCCTGGGTTATTTGTGTTGCTCTGCATCTTTGCATTTCATGCATTTATTTGTTGTTTTGTTTGAATTAGTTTCAGTTCTTCTTATGTGATCATTTCTCTTGCTTAGTGTCCTAATGTCACTTCTCTGACTGCATCTCCCTGCTTGTCGAGTTTCTTTGCAGTTCCCCTGTTTTTATTTCCCTTTTCCTATTAGCGCTGAATAGTGCTATATAAATAACAATAATAATGGACTGGATTTATATAGCGCTTTTTAAGGCACCCAAAGCGCTTTCCCGGTATTTAAGATCAGCATCCTCATCTCTCTTTTGCAAGATCGTCGACTAACCTCATGTTGGTAACAGGCCGATGCGGTTCATGGTCTTTGTGAATGACTCGTACTCACCTGATCTTTTCTTTGCTTCTAGTTGCCACGTTTTCTCCGTCACTCAACTACTGCTCAGGATTTTCTGGACAGTTCTCCACTTTGTTGCCGTATCATTGCATCATTCGCTATCTCCACCTGCCTTCCTTCCTGCCATCTTTTGTGGATCACTGGGAAACAAGGTTGGAATAATTTCTCTCACTCTCCACTGAGGAGCTCACCTGACCTTCCACCTTCCCAGTGCTGTTTACGCTTCACATCTTCAGTCTCGTTTCCTCTGCAATCCCTTCTAATCATGCTCTGCCCATATTTAGACCTGTTAGCAAAGAAGTCCTCCTTCGTGTTGCCACTTTTTCCCAATGTTCCTGTAAAATAAACTCATTGAAACCTTACCGCTTGCTCCCGTGCTTGCATCTGTTTTTGGGTCCAAGTTCTTGCTCTAGCCTCCAGGCTCCCGTAACAGTAGCTCTTCACTGCTCAGACCCTGTTACTTTTTTTTTTTCCTCTTAATTTCCCCTTTTTTCTTTTTCTCTTTTTCTGTTTTCTCAAAATGCAGAAGGAACTCCTCTTTGCTGCAGGCACATACGACAAAAGAGCCTAACCAGTCTGCAGGATCCTCTGCAAACAAGTCAGGGCAATGCCAAGAAATATGTCTATTTGAAGCCTAATGCTTTAATCATGTAATTACTTTCAAAATATTTTTATTTTTGCACTTGACACCTAGTAACCCGTGGTAGTATTGCACTGTATGATTATTGCCGGTTCAAATATTTTTTTAAAAAAAGCACTTTTGAATCTCGTAAATCCCCAACTTTTGTTTTCCCAGAAATTAATAGGCCTCATTTACAGCAGATGCACAAAAATCTACATGTACAAATGTTTCATATACAAATCTGTCACTGATCTTTATTTACATATTTAGACCAGAATGAGGAAGTCTTGGCTATTTATATAAATTTAAAAAGGAAATTGTGTTTTCCTCTTTGCTGAGCTAAGCTCCGGGCTGTTAATGGACATTACACATTTATAACCTGTAAATAGTGTCAACATTATCATCCAGAGTTTTAGCTTCAACTGGAAATCCAACATCTCTGACTTGGTGCCTAAAACACTGGAAAAGCAAACATAAAAGCTTCACCTCATTTGAGGTTATCGAAGCCAGATAACCTCATTTGAGGTTAACTGTCTGTGTATGTTGTCTTGACTCATCTGGTAGGAACATGGGAATCCTTTCCTAGCCAACTTTGTTATCCACACCATGTGACACGACCTCAGCATTAGATTCTCTCCCCTGATAAATGCCCTCATGCTCAACAACGCCCTGAAAAGTCCTCAGAACTAATGCCAAAACTAACTATTCTGTTATCACAGGCTGAGCCTGCTTCTCATTAATGGTACATCTGAATTCCCCTTTAATATCAATCAAAATATTTTAGTAGAATCACCTCAGGCGATGGGGTATTTCTGTAAGAGAAACAGCAACTGATTGAAATCTAAAAACACACCGATAACCTTTAACTGAGCAAAACAGAATGAAACGCTAACTCCTTTGATTGTGTATCTCTAATGAGAGAAGAATTAAGAGGGAAAAGCGTGCATGCACTGATACAATGTGGAAAAAGAAAAAGGCAAACGAAGAGACACATTTTACATAGCACCCTGTTTGTCTTTGACATTCTTTTTAAATGACTAAAGCACAAAGTCATGCAACAGAGAGCTGACTGCTGATGAACACGGAAATCAGAAAGGAAATTATTCAAATTTGCTTTTATATAGAGACAGAAAAGGGTGAATGAAACCATGGGATTTTTAACAAGTTCTGAAAGTACTTTGCTGTAATTATTTCACTCTTCCAAAACCTCTCCCGAGACTCAGTTTGTGGCAGTATTTCAAAGAGAAACCTGATTAAGGTTCTTCGACCTCACAGGGTTAAACAGACTGTATAGTGTTTCCTTCACTTTAGAGGACGTTACATTGACTTGAAGTCATTTCCTGGAAACTTTATCAAAACCTACCCATGACAACCTAAACTTAACTTTGAAACAAGCTTCAGCCTAAAATGTAATCTCCAAAGTTATTAGTTATTATTAGTAGTCACAGTGTGAACCTATAAACAGACATGTCACCCACAGCATGACTGGTATATGTACATGCACATATTTCTCGGCCTGGAGGTAGGTAATAGGGAATAGAGAGGCAGACACACAGGTATGTCTGCACTCCAGATATGGGCTGAAAGCTCTGTGAGCAGACCAGCTTACGGCACTTTAATAATGCAGAGTGTGCATGAGAGAGTGAGGTGAGCCACTAGAGGACTCTGCTATACACAAAATGAAGAACTGAACACATTTGGGAACGATACAGCCCGAGGCCCAGAATCAGGCCTCAGACCATCTCACTCTGGCATCTGACGTCCTTCAAGGAAACTAAACAACCTTAACCTCCCACCAGAGACTAAAAGGACACATTTTAATGGTTCTTTAGGTAGATGACTGTAATAAGTCACATACCACACATAATTGCAACGTACAGTCCTGTTAAAAATGAGGTGCATCCCATGATTCAGTAGTTTGTAGTGCCACCTTTAGTAGCAATAACATTAAGTAACTGTTTTCTGTATGACTTTTGCATCGCTTCAGACCAGTGAGGTTTGCAGGCTTTTGTTTATGCACATCTCTCTTTACATCAGGTTGAGTGTGTGACTGTGCCTCTGCGACAGCTAGATTCTTTTTGCCGCTGTGCTTGCGATCATTGTCCTGTTGCATGACCCAGTGTGGGCCAAGCTTTATCTGTCAGACATCTGAGATTCTACAATCAGATGTTCTCAGATTTTGCTCTAGAATACTTTGGTATACAGAGGAATTCGCAGTTGACTCAACTGCAAGGTGCACAGATCCTGCGTCTCCAAAACGAGCCCAAATCATGAACCCTTCATCACCATGGTGACAGCTGATACGAGGTGTTTGTGTTGATATTTGCATTTTCGCCAAACATGTCCACTGGACCTCATTCACGAGCTTTGTGTAGAAATAATTGTATCCAGAGCAAAAAAACAAAAACAAAACTAGTGCACATAGAAAATCACTTTTGAATTTCAGGGGCATGCAGTGGGCCGTACTAGTTTCACTTTGCATATATTAGTGAACTAGAATCAATCTAAACCAACAAGCTTGCACAACCTGCGTAAGCAAAATATGTCCCCTTTAATATATCATTGTCAAAGAGAGAGGCTATGCTAATGAACTCAAAACAGAAAAAAATATACGAGGAAGCACAAAACTAAAATTCATTACTGGAACTGGAATAAAGTCAAAGAGAAACCAAAGGATCAAACTCACTTTGGAATGTAAGGAACTGAAGGCAGGAACCAGAAATAAACAGCAACTAGAGCTCAGATATAAGAACTAATGTTTCAGATTATTAAACCTACAAATAAAAGGACCAAACCCCAGAAAAGATAAGCAGCTAAATGCACCCCTGGAAAATAATCAGGGAAATAGAGACCAGTGACCCTGTCATAAGAGAAAATAAAACCGGTTATTCAAAATTCAAAATAATAAAACAGAATTAGGAAACAAAGATCAAAATCAGGGACAATGAGAGGTTTGCAGCTACTTTAATTGGGCCTAAATTTTATCATCTTTCCTTGTTAACTTCAATTTTCTGCTTCAGGCTTTGTGTTACATGATTAGGGACATTTGAGGTCTCTTCTATGCAAAATAGACCAACTGAGCACAATCTACCCCAATTCACAGAGAACATAAAAACACTGAGAGGCAACACATTTACTAAACAAAAAAGGAAAGCAGTGCTGCAGAAAGTCACTAAATCACTTCTCACTAATGATCATCACAAATTTTATAACCCGCAACAAAAATGTGGAGACTGACACCAGAGTTTTTAGAAGCATAGATTTTATTTTAAATTGCCTAACAAACTTAGCTGAAACAGTTAGCACCCCAAAGAGCACAAAGGCAAAGAAAAGTGGTATCTCATCAAGTCACCGTGCCTTTATCCCCAAAGTTTCCAATAATGAGCTCACAGTATTTGCAGGTAATCCCTGTGAGACCAAAGCTCAGACTTCAGACTGATTAACATCCTGTTAGACTTTTTGTTCTGCCCTCTGGTCCGTCTGATGTCACTGAGTGCAGATTTCACAAACATTGTCATATCAGATGGACATAAGAAGCTGCTGCTCCGTTCGGTTTTTGAGGGGCAGCGAATCAGAAGGAAGCTGGCTTAAAGGAGGAATATCTAAAACAGCTTATTTCAGTAAGGGGACGAAATAAGTGGATGCACTAGTATGAAACGAAGGATTATTTTTAACTATAAATCATGCAAAGTTACTCTTGTTGAGTAGATATTTTTAAAAACCGGAGCTGGAAATGAGCCAGAATATGTCTCTTTTAAAGTTCTTCTCCGTGCTACTATTTGATAAAAGCTTCTGAAAGCACTCCAGATCTCACAAAGTCACCTCTAATCTGTTTATTTTTTAATACACTGCCTGCATAAAGTATTCAGCTGTCAATCACCCTGTAAAAATGTTTTCCCAGGAATCTTTGTGTTGATTTATTCTGAATAACTGGCCTCTAGGTGCTTAAAACAGCCAAGTGGATACACTCTATGTTAAGTTCCCTCAGTAATACAGCTCTTAGGTATCATAAGTTTATTTATAGAAATGCTACAGATTACTAAATATTAAGCGTGGAGTTTAAAGAATGAGGAGAAGATAATGTGAGTTTTTTAGGTCCTTTGATGTCTCTGTATTAAAGTAAGACTAATGCTTCAAACAGGCCAGTGAGAGCTGTGAAGGGAGAATTCCTTATTCACGACTGAGCGAGGCCACACTCTCTAATCCCAGACCCCTACCTGTCTGACTGCTACAGAGTCATGGGAAAAAAGCTCTCTCATACTTTGTTTCTCACACATACACATAAACACACTTTCTCCCTCTTCCAGACTTTCTTTTCTCACTCAATCCTCAGGCTCTCTCCGCCAAATCCCCCAGGAATCTCAGACCTGTGTGTGAACCAGGCTGCGGTCGGCAAGATATGAGTTTTTAAAGACTGGGAACAATACTGGATCTTCCTGGATTGAAGATGCCGACAGGCTTCATATCTGTAGATCTGACTACTTTAATGATAAATAGAAATTTCCCACTGCTGAATGAGGGACAGTCTCTGAAACCAAAACAACTTGACAAATAACAGATGATCTAAAAGCCAATAAACTTCATCACATGACTCATACTAATGGGTGGAGCATGAAGAACGGACCACATCTGATTTTTAATCTGAATATTAAGCATATTTTGGTCTAAGCTCTAAATACCACAGACACTGAGATAATCACAAAGACAACGATGCTGTGTGTAAGCAGCAGCTAGTTATATTTAGAGTCACAGTGAAGCAGTTTTACTAAAAAATGTGGAACACTGGACGAGATCTTTACCTTCTTGTTATTCTAGTGATGGGTGTAAGTTTTG